AGCCCACTCCCTACACGCCTCTCCGTCCGCCCAGCATACTCCCTACACGCCTCTCCGTCCACTCCAGCGCACTCCCTATATGCCTCTCCGTCCACCCCAGCATACTCCCTACACGCTTCTCCATCCACCCCAGCACACTCCCTATACACCTCTCCATCCACCCAGCACACTCCTTATACGCCTCTCCGTCTCCTTTCATGGATTGAGAACTGGTTAAAAGACAGGGAACAACGGGTAGGGATAAATGGTAAATTTTCAGGATGGAGAGGGGTAATTAGTGGTGTTCCCTGCGGGTCAGTCCTAAGACCAATCCTATTCAATTTATTCATAAATGGTCTGGAGAAAGGGGTAAACAGTGAGGTGGCAAAGTTTGCAGATGATACTAAACTGCTCAAGATAGTTAAGACCAAAGCAGACTATGAAGAACTTCAAAAAGATCTCACAAAACTAAGTGATTGGGCAACAAAATGGCAAATGAAATGTAATGTGGATAAATGTAAAGTAATGCACATTAGAAAAAATAACCCCAACTATAGATACAATATGATGGGGGCTAATTTAACTACAACTAAGCAGGAAAGAGATCTTGGAGTCATCGTGGATAGTTCTCTGAAGACATCCACGCAGTGTGCAGTGGCAGCCAAAAAAGCAAGCAGGATGTTAGGAATCATTTAAAAAGGAATAGAGAATAAGATGGAGAATATTTTATTGACCTTATATAAATCCATGGTACGCCCACATCTTGAATACTGCATACGGATGTGGTCCCCTCATCTCAAAAAAGATATACTGGCATTAGAAAAGGTTCAGAGAAGCGCAACTAAAATAATTAGGGATTTGGAACGGGTCCCATATGAGGAGACATTAAAGAGGCTAGGACTTTTCAGCTTGGAAAAGAGGAGACCAAGGGGGGATATGATCGTGGTATATAAAATCATGAGTGGTGTGGAGAAAGTGAATAAGGAAAAGTTATTTACTTGTTCCCATAATATAAGAACTAGGGGCCACCAAATGAAATTAATGGGCAATAGGTTTAAAACAAATAAAAGGAAGTTGTTCTTCACACAGTGCACAGTCAACCTGTGGAACTCCTTGCCTGAGGAGGTTGTGAAGGCTAGGACTATAACAGGGTTTAAAAGAGAACTAGATACATTCATGGAAGTTAAGTCCATTAATGGCTATTAGCCAGGATGGGTAAGGAATGGTGTCGCTAGCCTGTTTGTCAGAGGGTGGAGATGGATGGCAGGAGAGAGATCACTTGATCATTAACTGTTAGGTTCACTCCCTCTGGGGCACCTGGCATTGGCCACTGTCAGGATACTGGGCTGGATGGACCTTTGATCTGACCCAATATGGCTGTTCTTATGTTCATCCACCTCAGCACACTCCCTATTCGCCTCTCCATCTACCCCAGCACACTGCCTATATGCCTCTCCATCCCAGCACATCTCTCTGTCCACCTCAGCACACTCCCAATACATCCCTCCATCCCAATACACCCCAGCCATACACCCCAGCTTTTCATTCACCCCAGCACCCAGGACCCCCCTACATCCACCCCAGCACACTCCCAATACATCCCTCCATCTCAATACACCTTCCATCCACCATAACACACTCCCTTTACACTTGTCCATTCCTATATAACCCTCCATTCACCCCAGTATGTTGCTAATACACCCTTCCACACTTCTCCATCCACCCTAGTGCACACACAATACACACCTCCGTCCAGCGCACTTCCAGTACAGCCCTCCATTCCAGTACATCCATCCACTCCAACACACTTCCAGTACAACCCAAAACATTTTCCCAATAAATTTTCCACACCCATATCCCAAATACATGCCCTCCATTCCATTTCCCTCTTTCCCCCGCCCAGTACACACAAATCCTGGCCCTACCCTGACATCTCTCCATTATTCTGCCCCACCACATACCTCTTGCATCTTCATAATCCTCCCCTTTCTTCCTCTTTTTCTGCTTCCCCAAGATACATATCTATCCCCTTACACAGCCCTTCCTCCTTTCATCCTGTGCCTACTCAACTGCACCCTCCCACATCAATACACCACCCTTCTGCCAAGCCTCATCAAAACATATTCCTATTTCTATTCCCAGGGATGATGACTTCCCCTACCAACTCCTCCAATTTTTTCTAACATTGATTTAAAAAAAAAGAAAAGATTCCTCTAGTTTTCCACTGACTGGGTCTAATCATGCAGCGCCTACTCAGGTACAATCATTATTAAAAAGAAGAATCCCATTATTTTCTATAGGACTATATTCACTTGAATCATAGAAATATAAGGCTGGAAGGGACCTCAAGAAGCCATCAAGTCCAGTCCCCTGCACAGAGGCAGGACCAAGTAAACCTAAACCATCCGTGACAGGTGTTTGTGCAATCTGTTCATAAAAACCTCCAAAAATGAGGATTCTACAACCTCCCTTAGAAGACCATTTCAGAGCTTAACTATCCTTATAGTTAGAAAGTTGTTCCTAATATCTAATCTAAATCTCCCTTGCTGCAAATTAAACCCATTACTTCTTGTCCTACCTTCAGTGGACATGAAGAACAATTGATTACAATCTTCTTTATAACATCTCTCAACATATTTGAAAACTGTTACCAGTCCCTCCCCTGAGTGTTTTCTCAAGGCTAAATATGCCTAGTTGTTTTAACCTTTCCTCATAGGTCAGGTTTTCTAAACCTTTTATTATTTTGTTGTTGCTCTTCTCTGGATTCTCCGCTGTTTGTCCACATCTTTCTTAAAGTATGTTGCCCAGAATTGGACACAGTAGTTCAGCAATGCCTAGTAGAATAGTCTTACATACACCACTACTGTTAATACACCTCAGAATGATATTAGTCTTTTTTGCAGCTGCCTCATATTGTTAACTCATTTTCAGTTTGAAATTCACTATAACCCTCAGATCCTTTTCAGTTCTGCCACTATCTAGCCAGATTCCCCATTTTTCAGTTGTGCATTTGACTTTTCTTTCTTTGCACTTGTCTTTATTGAATTTCATCTTGTTGATTACAGACCAAATCTACAATTTGTCAAGGTCATTTTGAATTCTAATCTTTTCCTCCAAAGTACCTCTCCCAGCCCGGTGTCATCCACAAATTTTATATGCATACTCTCCACTCTATTAGCCAAGTCATTTATGAAACTGAATAGTACTGGACCCAGGACTTAACTTCTATGGAACCCCACTAGATACGCCTCCCCTGTTTGACAGCAAACCATTGATAACTACTCTTTAAGTACAGTCTTTCAACCAGTTGTGCACCCACCTAATGGTAATATGATCAAGAGCACAATAACTCGTTTTCTTATGGGAATGTCATGTGCGACTGTGTCAAAAGCCTGACTAAGATCAAGATATATCATGTCTACTGCTTTCACCTTATCTATTAGACCAGTGATCCTGTCAAAGACAGAAATTGGGTTGGTTTGACATGATTTGTTCTTGACAAATCCCTGTTGGCCATTGCTAATAACCCTGTTTATGCTCTAGGTCAGGGGTTCTCAAACCTCATTGCACCACGACCCCCTTCTAACAACAAAAATTACTTCACGACCCCAGGACGGGGAGACCGAAGCCTGAGCCTGGTCAAGCCCCACTTCTCCGGGGGCGGGAGGGGGGAAGCCTGAGCCCCACTGCTCCAGGCAGGGGGGGTCAAAGCTGAATCTCAAGGGCCTCAGCCCCTGGTCAGGTGGCCTGCAACTTGAGCCCTGCTGCCCAGGGCTGAAGCCCTTGGGCTTGACTTCAGCTCTGAGGAGTGGGGCTCAGGCTTCAGCCCTGGGCCCCAGCAAGTCTAAGCCAGCCCTGGCGACTCCATTTGGGGTCCTGACCCACAGTTTGAGAACCGTTTCTCTAGGTGCTTATAAAGTGACTGTTTAATAATTTGTTCCAGTATCTTTCCAAGTATCAAAGTCAGGCTGACTGGTCTATAATGCCCCAGGTCCTCTTTGATCCCCTTTTTAAAGATAGGTACTATGTTTGCCCTTCTTCAGTCCTCTGGGACTTCACCTAATTCTCTAGGAGTTCTTGAAGATAATTACTAACAGTTCTGAGATTGCTTCCGTTAGTTCTTTAAGTACCCTAGGATGGA